GGGGGAGTGTCGGGGTCCGGCCCCCCCTGCGCCTCCGCCGGACTCGATGGGCTCTCTGGAGCCCGGAGTTGTCCGCAAACTGCAGCGCGGCATCTCGGGGGCTGCGGGGCCGCTGCCAAAGCCCCGCGGGTTGAGGGGCAGCGCAGCGTGAGTGCGGGGGGATGCGGGGGCGGCGGGGCCGGTGCCCGCGCCCCGGGCGGGCGGAACGTGTGGTGTCGGTGTAACAGCGCCGGGATAGTGGATGTATCAACAGAAGGTGTTGACACGGGATTAACCCTTCCCGTCTCCTGCCTTTCAGCGTTTTCTCTTACGGCCCGAGCTCAGCCAGAGGCAAATGTTTGAAATTCAGATGAGGAAGGCGTAAATATTTTATTTGGGGAAATGGGTTTTTCGCGTGCCTGTGTGTGTGCGTGTACATACGCAGGGCTCGTGTGTGTAGCTCTCCGTGAAATGTAATGTTACATTTCAAATGACTTACCTGTGCTTATTTCGTGGTAGTTTTTGTGACAGGGCAGCCGTGTACAGATTTACAATTAGCTGAGCCTAAGTTTGGGCCAGCCCTGCTCTGAAAAAGTGCCGGTTTTTACCTGTAACGCTGAGCAGATGTGTACAATGGCACATCTCCTGTCTCGCTGCCGGTACAAACACACGCTGGAAAAGGATAACTGCCTATATTTGGGAAAACGCAACACGCCAAAAAAAAATGATTATTTAGGTTTTTAATGCGGTCATTCTTACTTAAACCTGCCTCGTAAGGCGTGGAAGATATTACACATTGTTATACTTGATAGATGGGGAAATAATGCAACTTTTATTCTTTTGTACTCATCTCCTGCATGTAACCTTCAAACAGTGCTCACAGTTAGAGAAAGAAGAACAGGAGCGATTCAAAGTAGTATTTTTAATTTATTCTGTTTTAATCTTGGGCCTAAAATAATTTTTTTTTAAAGTTTTGAAGGGTTCAGCTTCTTTTTCTATTTTCTTCAGAGACATTCACAGTAAGGAAGGTAATAATTAGATACTTCTGATAGGTGAGCTGTAGTACTCTATGGAGTACTAAATGGAAATTAAGAGAATTGACACGGAAGCCAGCTTCAAATTTTACTTTCTTTTTTAACCCCCAGTCTGGCATTTGTTGTGAATTTCAGCTTAAAAGGATATTTTGTTCAGCTTTGTCTTGATTTAAGTATAGAGATTTATTTTCAAGATTGAAGATTAGAACAATGGGAAGGAATTGCAGCTTATATACTTGTAATCTTACTGAGAGTCAAAAGTATTTAATACAGCTATTCAAGTATCCTCTTGTCATTTGTTTTATGCCAGTTAGTTGTAATTTCTTTCTGTAACATGGATTGTTATAAACCTTGAAAAAAATGCTTATTATCTGTATGTATAATTCACTCTCATGAACAAATTAGATTTTTCTTCCATGAGTGAACTATAATATGAAATTTCGTGTTCTGACCTTTCTTATGCTGGATTACTGAAAACAGTGTCATTTGGCTTTTCTGAAAGCCCAAGCATATTTTTGTTGTTGGTTTAATGTGTTGTTTTATATTGTTGTTTTTAATTGTGGAAAAAAGTAACACATGTAATTTTCACATCACTTCTTAATATATGCAGACGCTAAAGTTCTTGCTGTGTAAAAGAAAAAGTCTAGTTGTTGGATTTTTTCCTGGGAGCTCTGATGGCCAGCATTCTTGCTAATGACAGTCATTTCTCTGGCAGGAAGATGTTTTCATTTGTATTTACTTTTCAGTACAGGGCAATTATGCTGCTCTGTGTTGTGCACTCTTCCGCAGCTCCTATCTCAAAAGAATTACAGTACTTGGAACAGGACTGCGGTTTGAAGCAGGTGTTGTGTTTTACTGTTATGCAAAATAACACTAAAATATAATGGTAAAGGAAATTAAGGAAACAGCTGCAAACTTGGTGTGGTAACTACTACATTAAGAGGGGCAGTTGTTGCAGCATCTTACATCACATCCAAGGCAGCAAAGATTTGTTTCAGTAAAGCTCACCTTGCTCCTGAAACTATTGCACTTGTTCTTGCTAAGGGGATTAGTGTGGAGACCAGACTATAACCTGAGTTACAAAGATGTACCACCTCACTAGTGACAGTTTGTTAAGCTGGGACTTTATGCTTTAGTTTCATCTTTTATATTTTTTTCCCTCCATCTAAAGAAGACGTAGGATAGGACCCAGTTACTGGAATGAAGGTTGCAGAATGTCTTAACCCAACTAACATATGGAAGCCTACATAGGCCTGAGGTGGTAAAATAGTAAAATAAATGGCCTATAGCAGGCCATCTGCCATTTGCAGGGCATTTTCCTCATGCTTCATGCCAAACTGGAAATTAGTCTTTGTATTAAAAATATATTTTGAATACGAATCAAAGATTTCAAGTATTTCATGTTACACATGGCGAACACATTTCAGTTTGGGAGCTAGAGAGGTCCAGGAAAATCGCACTGAAAAAACCAGTGTTGATGCTCAGGGCTCAAATCATTCTCTTCTCTTTCCCATCTCTTTGTTCCTCCCAGTAAGCACTGATTTACTTTTGTGAATTACACACCAGACATGGAAAAAACACTACTGTGTGTGGCAGCTAAAGGGAGGGATATCAGCTGATGCCAGGTGTCATGATTTCATGTAAGTCCTTGCTGGGATAGTGTGTCCCAGCTGAGCATCTGCCTCGTGAGCAGGGCTCTTAAAGAGTTGCTCATCTTGAAAGTATTCTTCGAACATCAGCTGATCAATTTTCACAGAGTCCCTCTGAAAGGCAGGCAGCTGAGGGATCCTCAGTTTATTGACAGCAGAAATCGAAGCTCAGATTTTGTGCAAGAAGCTCAGCAGAGCAGGTTTGGGAGGTTTCTGGCTATTTGGGTTTTGCTTATATTACAGTGCACACCCAGTCTTGACACAAAATACGTTTAAGAGCACTTTGAAGAAGTGAAAGATAGGGATGCATACAGAGGAAAGAGCCTATTTCTTTCATCTTATTCAGAAATATTTGTGCATAAAATCGCACTTAAATCTGTCAGATAAATCATTACTGTCTCGTGGTGAATCCAAACCAGTTTCATTCCTAGTGCACTATAACATGGATATTTTGCTAACGTTGTCTGGATAATCGCCTTTCTCTGGACAAATAAATGCCTTGATTTAAAGGCATTTGGGTGTAACTTTAGCTATGGAATTTTAAAATGTTCTTTACATCAGTTTCTTATAAGTCTCTAGATTGTCATTCATGTGGTAAAGCTGCAATAGGGCCTAGAAAACAAGTGTGTATGTTTGTAGAAAGTCATTTATCTTTCAGCAAACTGTGTCCACTTGTTAGTTTTCGTGGTTGCAGTTAGCACAAGATATTATTTCAAATAAAGAATATGAAATGTGGAGTATTTAACAGGAGCTTTAAACTCATATGTTTTATTCCCCCCAGGATAGACAAACAAACAAAAAAGTGAATAGTAATGCTTAGAGAGTGGGGTGATGGGTACATAAAAAATATAGAAAAAGGTGTCTGAATAGAAATCAGGAGAGGATAGAGTAATCTGTCTGTGTATGTTTACATCTCCTCATAGCTTATAGCAGTGTGTGTGCTGTCTTCCTCTTCTGGCAGAGGTCACGGAGTTGATGAGGAGCTGCTGGGAATCGGGAGCTGCCTGGACCACAATGCCCTACCCTGCTCCTGGCCTTGGGAAGTTGTGAGCTGCTCATGTCCATAAGGAGGAAGGATGGCTCATGGAATTCCTTCACAAGGCAAAGTTACCATAACAGTGGATGAATACAGCTCCAACCCAACGCAGGCGTTTACACACTACAACATCAACCAGAGCAGGTTCCAGCCTCCACATGTGCATATGTGAGTATTCCCGACCTTCCTGCCTGTGTGTCTGTGTGTGTGTGTCTGCCTGTGCCTGAGACGGAGAACTGCTGCCGAAGGAGTGGGTTGAAAACTGGGAAATTTGGTTAGTCACATGAGCTGAGAGGCAAGATGGTTGTCGGATTTCTTACCTGGCGTGTCTGAGGTTTGAGAAGCCCTGCTCCATCCTCTCCTGGAGGTGACTGCCCGAGGCTCGCTGCCTCTGTGGAACTCCCCTGTGCCGACTGGTGGGGCGCATGTTCTCAAGCTTGTCACTCTACTGATCTTTCTTTTAACTCGCCTGAGGGACCCATTGCTTTAAAAATTAAGCTCCCTTCCCCCAGCCCTTACACTCAGCTGCGAAATAGGCCTAATTGGGACTAATTGTCCCCCCTGATCAGTGAATCCTTTGTCCTCCTGGTTGGGAGTGGAACGTGTGCCGCATGACACATTCCATTCCACCCGCAACCTGCCGCACAAAGGAGTCGGGGTCTGCCCAGTAGTTCCTCCCAAGAAATACAAATACTCTCTTAAAACAACAGCTCTGGCCCGAACCAACGAGAGCACGGGAAGTGGAGAGCTGAAGGCTCCTTCCCTCACCTTGTTAGTCCTGGGTATTGTGTGGGCCAGGCTCCTTGTGCTGCCCAGCACCTTTGGCACAATGGGCTGCTTGCTTAGCAAAGAGCTAAGTACCAGTTTTAACTCTGAATTCCCTTCCCATTGTTTAGTTGAGTTTGATCTTTATCGGTTATTTCTGTGAAGGTTCTTTTCCTTTTAGCATTAATAGACTGAAAAGCACGTGAAACTAAAACAAAGCCGACATCTCTTGACCTCCTGCGAGCCATTGTTAGGCAGGATTTTGAACGATGTCACACTATTGAATTTGATAAGGATTTAGCATAATAAGGGGGGAAAGTTGTATGGCACTTCGTTGCATTTTTGTTATGTAGAAGGCTGCCGGAAGAGTCACAATGTAGGAGTTCAGCACCTTCTAATAGGATTTCATGTGGTTACAATGTTCCTAAAGGCAACTTTGGGAAGGATGCTGAAGAGTGTCTGTCGTGCATGTGGCTGACTTTTCAAGGTGAAGAAAGTTTTCATTAATTACATTTGATTGAAAACGTTTAGACAGCCACACCTCTAATAGATAGTGTATCTCTTACATGATATTGATATAATGGATATCTTAAAAGGTACTTCTCTTGTCTGGAAAAACTGTAATTGAAATAAATACTGAAACTACAAAGTTCAGTACAGTGACAGTATTTTAAATGATTTTTAACTTTAATACTGCAACTTTCTTAAAATCAGTAATTTGATTTCAGGGGAGGGCATGGCAAACTAAAGGGAGATCAAAATTTAGAAAAATTGGAAATTAATTAGTCTCAGTTTCACAGTGAAAGCAGAGAGAGCAATGTCATAGTGCACAAGGCGAGTCTGGATTCAGGTGTAGGTCTGGATAACAAATGATGGATTTTAGAAAACCTATTGAGGGGAAAAAAAAAAAGACCGGATCCTATCAGGAGGGTAGAGGAGAGCATGGAAGTGAAGATGACTATGGCTGAGGGTTTGTGTGATGGTAGCAACAGCTGAATTATTTCTGGGGAGGAGAGCCTGGGTTCTGTGGTAGCTTCAGACAGGGTCTTTATTTGTCTTCTCAGCGTTTTGTAGTGGAAACACTGTGTGTATTTTTGAAAGAGGATGTCATCAAGTGAGAAACCTGAAAAGAAAATTGGTAAAAGCAGTATTAACAAAGAACCCATGATCTGTTTACCCTGTTGTATCTCTGTTAGTGCCACGTTGCTGCAGCCACTGGGATTGATTTGATTTGGTTTTACAGTCTGCTTTTTTTTATTGTTGCTGTCTTTTAAAGTAATGCATGCGTTTGGTTGTTTTTTTTTCTTTTCTAAGAAGGAGTTTGAGGAAGCTTTATTCTCTAGTGAAAAATTTATTTTAAAAATCATGGGATGATGAGAAATGAGTAAAGCAACATGGGAACTGAGTGTTGTGACAGGTATGTGAATAGCAGGGCAATATATTGCTGCAGGGCCCTGCTGCATACCATAAATCAGGAGCTGGGTGCAGCTTAAGGACAGTGTTCTTTGCTAAGGGAATTTTTTTTTTAGAAGTAATTCCTTTATGGATATGCATCTCCATGTGCAAAGGTGAGAACTGGGTTCATGGCACATACTGAGCCATTTCTGGCTCTGGTATCCTTTGGGCTCAGCTCTCGTTTTACACAGAGTAGAGGGGAGTCCATGGAGTATCACCAGCACAAACCTGGTGGGTGAGGCACTCCAGGCATCAGTCTGCCTGTTGGTGGGACACATCCTGTGCTTTTTCTCCCACTTTCATTTTGTGCCTTTCATGTGACAGTGTCAGCTGGGATACAGTTCTCTTATCTTTATTTGTGTATTTCCACCAGCATTTCTTGGTGAATCTGTTTAAATGTACAGCCAGGTAAACAACAAGGGGATTTGTTACAGCTCCCTTTGCTTGGGCTGGCTGGGACAGCAGTTTTGTCACTTAAGCTCTGGTGGTATAGCTTTTGAATCAGTTTGTCCATTCTTTTTATTTCATTTCTCTACCAATTAACATTTGAACAGGTATTCTAAAGGCAAATTTTACAATTATTTTGCATAAAGGGATGTAATTTGAAATATTATTTTGTCATCTTAAGCAATGCTCCCACCTACAGGTTTCACTTACTTTCTGAAGATGTCATAAAGTGTTTGTGTTTGAATGTTTTGTACAAGTCGTGTTTACTTTCTGTTAGTTTTAATTAAATGCATCACCTTAGTTCCCTGCTTTCAAGAGCAGCTGCAAATTAATGAATAACAATTATAATATGCTTCCCTTTGCTTCATATTGATGATTATTCTTCTGAAAGTTTTCATACTTTGTATTTTTTTACCAAGAGTTGTGACTTAAAGGCAAGTGCTTCTTACTCCTCTGGTGTGATGCTGCCACGTATGAGAAGTTTTTGTTTGTTTTGGGTTTTGTTTGTTTTTACATTTAGTTTGGTGTTTTTTTTTTTTAAACGGGTTTTAAGCCATTTAGATTTTTGAGGTGTTCTATATGAGGCTGGGATTAGTGGTACCAATACCAGTGAGCAGCAGTAGAATGCAGCCAGGGGACAAATCCAAATGTAAAACTGCTTACTTAGGCTTTAACCATGGAGAAAAACCTCCCGATTTAGGTACAACACCCCATTTACTTGCAGGGGGAAAAAAAAAAAAAGGAAGAGTGAAATAAACTTTGTGTATCTGTTTGGACAGGCCCATCTGGTGAGGATGGGGGAGTTTTGTGAAGATAAAATAGCTGTAGCCCAAGCTGCTGCAGGCTGAGCCTTTTAGAGGAGTTCATTATCTTTCTTCTGGTCTCACCAGCATGACTTGGTGGCTTGTTTTTGGGAGTATGTACATGTTAAAACTCCTGTGGTTTAAATTCAGTAGTAAGAAAGATAGAGGTTTCTGTGCCAGAGCACAAGTCTTCTAAATAAGTTTATTCATACCGAGAGATACCTTGAACAATCTGTAACCATATAATTTTATTGCCTTTTCTGTACTGGAGTAAAACCCCCATGTGAATATTCTCATTTTAAAACAAAGAGCATAAGCAGAGTTTTATATTAGTAGAAATATATATATATATATATATATGGTTGAATAGAGTATTTAAAGGTGTGTATATATATATGGTTGAATAAAATATTTAAAGGTATGAGTGTGTGTAAATGTGTATATATAATAATAATAGTAAAATAAAAATAGGGCTGTGTGACCATAGAAGAAAAACTTTCAACTGTGACAAAGCCTTACATTGTTAAAACCCAGAGATCTTATTAGACTACTAACCTGGAGAAATAGGATCTTGCTTTTTTTTTTTTTTTTCTTCTTTGGGAAACGGTCCTGCTTTTAATGTGCTTTATAAACTCCCCCTGAGATTAGTGGGAAATCGTGCATTTGATTTGTAGTAGTCTCAACTTTTGTTTTATATAGGGTGTGTGATATTTAGGGGGAGGGGAAAGAGTTGGCATTAATAAAATATGAACTCCTTTGACATTTAGAGAATAGTGGAGTTGGTACATGTAATATTATTGGTTGAGAGAATACAGAGATTCAGTCTTAAACTAGTCAGCTGTATTTAGTGTGACTGGGCAGGCTGTTTCAGCTGATAGTGATGTGACAGAGGTTTTGGTGGAAATTGTTGCTCTGGCCTTTAATAAGACTTTTTACAAAACCATACGCAGCTCATGACCACCCAAGTTCCTTTTCACAACTTATTTTTTGAAATAAATAAATAAAAACCCCAGTGCCCTCTGAAACAATCAAGTTACATTTAAATTCTGGTAGTGAAAACATTGAATGAGTGCACTTACAAGCTGAGCCTTACTTTTGGATGTGGGGATTGTTTTCGGGGATCAAGGCTCACAACCATCTTACCTTTGTGGAGGTTTAGTCTCCTTTTATCTTGCTGGTCCCTCACTGACCTGGGTGCTGCTGAAATGCAGCAGGCTCACAGCCCGGTGTGTTAAGGAAAACAAACCTGTTTTTCTTTAGCCAAGAGCAGTAGCCTTTCAGCAGCTGCCCTGGAGCAGCTGAGCTCTCCCTGCAGTGGCCTGGTGGGGATTCCAGCAGAATACAGGGAGGACAGCTGGAGGTAAGAACCCTTACAACTGTCCCCAAATAAACAGTGCTGCACTCAAGAAGAGGGCCATTAGCTGATTGTGTTTTCTGGTTCTCCTGCCATAGAACAGTGGAAGGCGAGTGGCAAAGATGCTAATTTTAATCATGGTTATGAAAACTCTTTTACTGGTGCCTGTGCATGTGTCTATATGTCTCTGTGAGTGAAGATCTCTACGATCTTCCTGATTTTTTCGTTATTTGAAGTTACTTGTGCAAAAATCTAAGCATCATATAAGTTTTAAAGTTAAATTTTACGTGTAAGATGAAAATAAATACCTTTTAGAGCCTTTTGAGGTACTGGAGTGGAACATG